ACAATAAGGGGGGGGACCTACTGTCCTCCCCCCTTGGCCCCCACCCCTGCGCGGTGGGTGGGGCCCTAATAAAACAATAAGAGGGGGGACCTACTGTCCTCCCCCCTGGCCCCCACCCCTGCGCGGTGGGTGGGGGCCCTAATAAAACAATAAGGGGGGGGACCTACTGTCCTCCCCCCTGGCCCCCACCCCTGAGCGGTGGGTGGGGGCCCTAAATGAAACACCCCCCCCAATCAAGGTGACTAGGGGTCCCTCCCCCACCCAAAAAAAAAACTATCCCCTACCTACCCCCCTCACCCTAAAAATTCAAAAGAACTTTCCCACGCTGTGTAAAATGACACAGAGCACTTTGATTGGGTGACTTTCAAGCCACCCAATCAGAGTGCTCTGTGTCATTTTACACAGCGTGGGAAAGTTCTTTTGAATTTTCCCACGCTGTGTAAAATGACACAGAGCACTCTGATTGGGTGGCTTTCAAGCCACCCAATCAGAGTGCTCTGTGTCATTTTACACAGCGTGGGAAAATTCAAAAGAACTTTCCCACGCTGTGTAAAATGACACAGAGCACTCTGATTGGGTGTTTTTTTTTTTTTTAAATGCGACGGGTATGATGGATTTTTATTTGCCCTTTTTGGGGGCTGAAGAAAGAAGATTTTAGAAAAAAGAAGACGTCAAATGGTAAGTTTAATTTTTTTTTTTTACAGGTTAGTTATTTTATTCCCCCCTCACTATTTTTAGGGTGAGGGGGGTAGGTAGGGGATAGGTTTTTTTTGGGTGGGGGGGGTGACTAGGGGCTTGGGACCCCTAGTCACCTTGATTGGGGGGGGGTGTTTCATTTAGGGCCCCCACCCACCGCTCAGGGGTGGGGGCCAGGGAGGGAGGACAGTAGTTTTATTAGGGCCCCCACCCACCGCTCAGAGGTGGGGGCCGGGGGGGAGGACAGTAGGTCCCCCCCTTATTGTTTTATTAGGGCCCCCACCCACCGCGCAGGGGTGGGGGCCGGGGGGAGGACAGTAGGTCCCCGCCCTTTATTGTTTTATTAGGGCCCTCACCCACCGCGCAGGGGTGGGGGCCAGGGAGGGGGACAGTAGGTCCCCCTCCCTATCTTTATTTAGGGCCCCCACCCACCCACCGCGCAGGGGTGGGGGCCGGGGGGGAGGACAGTAGGTCCCCCCCTTTATTGTTTTATTAGGGCCCCCACCCACCGCGCAGGGGTGGGGGCCAGGGGGGAGGACAGTAGGTCCCCCACTATCTTTATTTAGGGCCCCCACCCACCACTCAGGGGTGGGGGCCCCCCCTTATTGTTTTATAAGGGCCTCCACCCACCGCTCAGGGGTGGGGGCGGGGGTGAGGACAGTAGGTCCCCCCCCCCTTATTGTTTTATTAGGGCCCCCACCCACCGCTCAGGGTGGGGGAGGGGGGGAGGCCAATAGGTCCACCCCCCTTATTGTAATTTATGTAATTTTTTTTCAACAGTGAGCACAGGCTGCTCACTGTTTAGTAGACATGCCCCTACTCGCGGTATAGCGAGTATATCATATTGACCCCCATAGAGTGACAGGGGGACCTGGGGGGGGGCTTATGAAGTGGCGGGGAGCACTGCTCCCTGCCGCTTCTATCTTTACATATTACAAAGAGGGAGCTGCACGCCGGTAGCTCCCTCCTTGTAATAAATTGAACGAACAAACTAACACTGATACATTGTGTTTGTTTGTTCGGCTGATATTTCTATTCACTCATTCGTCTGTCTGATGAATGAATGAATAGATGAAATTCCCGTTCGCATGTCCAGGTGTTTCACTGGACATGTGCGGGAATCTCACAGTCTGTCTAGTGTGGGCTGATGACGTGTCCCTGAGGGACTTCATCTACCCACACAAAGATGGCAGCGCCCTGGATATAGATCGGGGCAGAAAATAAGGATTAAAAAATACGTAATGTGGGGGGCTTAGGGGCATTTGGGGGTGACTAGTGGGTCAATTGGATGTAGTGGAGGCGGGAGGGGGGTTAAAAAAAAAAAACGGGATTCGGCATGACAGTGCCGCTTTAAGTCAGCAGGGGATGCTCTTGCATGAAGCAAGCAAGTCAAAAGCTGGTGTCTGAATTTCAACTTAGTGATCAAAAAGGCACTATGTGTTTAACAAGATTGTATGTTAGACTGTCCAAGGATTTTCAAGCACGTTACAACTTATATGCAGCATAAATAATGACAGTACAATTATGAGAAATCTGACATTTTCTAAGTAGAATGCTATCAATTTAATTTCAACAGCAGAAATATTGAAACACTCCTAAATTATCTAAGAAATAATACAGTAAAGTAACTCTATATGCATTAAAAGAAATATGCCATGGTATTGGTATGATACTGAAATATGGATAGACCACTGCTAGCTAAAAGATAGGTTTACTTAAAGAAATATAGCAACTGTCATACATTTTGGAAGTGCCTTTGTAACATTATATTAGTTTACTGTATTAAATGTATTAAAACATGTATGAGTTTTATTAAAGTATAAACCAGCATTGAATATAATTTAGAAATATTAAAAACATCACTTACCATGTTGACTTCTGATACCATGTCTATGCTGGCAATGTCTATGTTCATGCCAACTGCCACAGGGGGACCTGTAAGTGAACATGATGGTCAACAGTTGGAGACATCTAAATATTAAACTTGTGCCATTCACACAAAGCTTTTATCAAAGTGAGTAATGGTGTTGCTTTCCAATTTTCCAATGGGCATAATACCTGCTTTACTGTTATCATATGTTTATGTTCCTTAAAGCATGCAGAAACAAAAATCCACAGTTTTCTACAAATGGGGAAAGTTTGTATGGCTACATTTAAGGAAGGATAATCATGAACAGCAAGCAGTTTAGTAAATGAGTATGTATACAGCACAAATTCACCATGCTGAGAAAATCCTTCAAATGACAAGAAAAAAACCCATAGTGTTATGCATACTGGCATTGCTATTTTTTTTTTTAAAATGCATTTATATATGTTTTGGGAGTTAAATTAATTGGCATTTTAAAACACCTCTACAATATTGTCAGTATTAATATAATATGTAACCAACATCAATGTATGGGTGGTTTAAAAATAGAATGAATAGGACATGCTGCAAACTGTACCAGTAAATGTATAGAAGCAGCAGAGTAAATGTAAATATTTATAAAAAAAAAAAAAAAAAAAAACCTAAGATCTAGCCCATAATAGAAAATAAGAATTTGTCTGAATTTATGAAGGTTGACATTCTTTATAAAACAGTGAATTTGCCACGTTTTGTGCTGTGGTGTAGGAATAGATCATTGTTTAACAAAAGAAAAAACAAAAAGCAATACCAATATGAAATCAATTTTTAGTCTTTATACAGCATATTCCTCTAAAAATTACCTCCAAAATCTGGCCTCAATCGGATGTCATAGCCTTTCAAGAGTCTGTCAACCGTCTCTTTAACCAATGACATATTGCTAGGATCATTGACACTAAAAAATGAAAAATTGTAAGGGAAAAATAAAATACAGAACATAATTAACATTTCTCGTTTGTACATGCCACCTAGCACAATGATCTATTTAAAGTCAGTGAAAGCTCTCTCCTTCATCCTTATCACTTACCTTTGTGCACAGACCATGGCAATTATAAGTGGAAATGACCAGATTCCAAAGTAGCCCTTCTTCTTGAATGACAACATCCCTTTTGCTTTTGATATGATTAAGGGTTTTCAGTGAAAAGCAAGACATCCAACTTATTCTGATCAGTGCAGTAATTCTAAAGTCCTGCACATGCGCAGAGCCCAGTACAACATCAAAATGAGCAGTGTTCGCATGCCACAGACATAGGCACAAACAATCAGGGTGACGGGGAACAATTCCCCCCCTCCCCAACTTTAGGCAGAACGGAGATGTATTTTCCCACCACAGATATGTGACCGCAACGAGTAGGTTCGGCTCGAGTGTCACACTACGTATAGCGGAGGATCACCTGTCCCTATGCTGTCTATGCGCTGTGCAAGCAGCAGCTACTGCTCAAGTATACTGCTGCTGATGCTGTCACGGACGCTGATGTGGGAGTGGAAGGAGGGAGGGGTGGAGAGTGGGAAAACGATCAGGAGGTTTGAGCACTGCAAAGAATGGATGGATGGGTTGTGGATCAGAGATCGCATCTTATTTCAATGCTCTGATAATTTTAATTTCGCATTAACTAATATGCTTTAAAGTCAGAAATACGCAAATGTTTGTTGGTCTCATCATTGAATTTTGGAGTCTTTATTGAAAAGATGATACCAAATGTAGGTTGAATTGTGATATTTCTCCAACACGAATCGTTGAGAATTAACTTGCAAGAAGCCCATCACGGTGTTTCTCTACATATATATATAAACACGGTTGTCGTGCTAAAGTTGGTTCCCTGTAAAAATGCATTACCACATCTATCCAGAATGTGGAGAGGATGGAGGCTGAGTGTGGCTGCTGAAAGTCCAGGAATGTTAAAAAAAAAAAAAAAAAAAAACCTTATCTAGCCTCATGTAAAATTCTTAACGCTTTCTCCTAGAAAAAGCAGGATACCTCCTTAAGGTCCCTGACAACCAATAAACAACAAACGTGCATTTTTTTTTTCTAAACACATTTTAATTAGTCTGCCCTCTTTTATTACAACCTGCAAATAAAATAGTTAATATCCTTATATATTCTTATTAAATAATGTCAGTGGCATAGCTAGAACTTTTGCAAAATGGGGCGCTCCCTGAGTTTGCCAGCCTTCTCCTCATCACTATGAGGAGCCTACTTATGTGCACTGCTCTAAGTCAGCGCTACACATAGTCCTTTAAATATGTGGCGATCTTGCTTAGCCACAGTGATTTACTCTTTGCAATATTTGTTTTCTAACCATGTATTGTTGTAAAATCCTAGACATATTGGCCATTTTAACAATCAGGACTAATTAGTGAATCTATTTTTCCAGGGTAATCATGGCAGCATCTACACATGGGTTAGCTCCTCCCCTTACAGCCAATAGGACATGATTTAAACAAATTCTTATAAAGGAGGATCCAGAGATGAGTCCCTCAGTCTTTTTCCTGTCCTTACAGCCTTTAGGAAGGGAGCTCCCTTTAGATATTAAGTACACTATATACTTTGAATTACTTTAAATTTGTTTTTAGGTCTCCTATTCTGTTTGCCCGTTTTGCATTAATACCAGGACTTGTCCTGGGGTACCTGAGACCTATAGGGGACGTCCTGGCTCAGGGTGTCCTTCACTCCGTCCTCAATCCTCCCAGCTTGGATTGCCCGGATCGCGGAGAGGACGCTCGCGCATGCGCAATGCGCTCAGATCACTTTTTGGCGCCAAAATGCACTTTGGGTAAGGTTGCGAGGTCGTGGCAGCCATCTTTACTATGGGCAAAACCCGAAAATGGCAGGTAAATTGCCAAAAACGCCAGGCGTTCCGCAATAATCCCGCCCGATACTTACGGGGTACTATTAATTGTCTTTTAGGTACTTGGCCCGCTCTTTTCTCTGTCCCCCCATCACCCGGTATAGTAAGCCCTTCTCCCAGGAAAACCTTGCCTGATCTACGTCTCCCTGAGGTTGGTCTGCCTCCCTCCGATACCCTCTTAGTGTGGGATCCTCCCGCTGGGCTTGCCCAAAGTCTTGAGGGGTACCCCAGTAAGATGTATGGTCAGGGCCAACTGTCAAGGGTTTATTGCTTACCTGGTCGACGGGTGAGGCCTCCATAGCTCTAGACTGCTGTCAGGTGGTGACAGGTAACGCTCCTTCTGGGCTTGGTGCTGTCAATTGGGACGTCAAGCACCCTAGATCATTTCCCAACAATACTTCGGCTGGTAAATCTGGCATGATGCCCACTTCCACAGACTTGGCCCCAGTACCCCAATCAATGTGTACTCGAGCCGTTGGCAGTTTATGTATTGCCCCTCCGGCTACCCTTACAGCAATGGTGCACCCTGTGTGCTGCGAAGGTGTGACCTGGTGAGGTTGTACCAGGGTAATAGTAGCCCCGCTGTCTCTCAGCCCTCTAGCTTCTTGTCCATTTAACTTCACGGACTGCTAGTGGTGAGACCGATTATCTCCAGCAGCTTGTATGGGGTTCACTTCATGTAATGTGGACCAATTTTCCGTATTGTTACTGGGTGACCCTTGAGCAGGGGGGTTGTAATCTTCTTGTACACAGTGTGCAGCTGCTTTTGTCGGTGGAACTGGTGTTCATCCCCAGCGGTCTGTAGCACGTTGTGGGCAATTGGGTTTGATGTGTCCCACTTGCTTGCACCCATAACACATAAGGGCGGTCTTTTGGTATCTAGTGGTTGTAGGGTTGCTCACCGGGGGGGTTACCCTCTGTGGGGTAGCTGTAGGACCAGTTGAAGGGCCCGATCCGGTGAACCCTCAATTTCCATCCAGCCTCCTGCTCTCGTGAAATTTGTCTGCTAACCTTGCTGCCTCTTCCACGAGCTTCCTGTCTCTGACCCAGTCTCTAACCTCAGCTGGAGTGTAGACATAAAACTGTTCCAGCAGCATTAATTGTACAGCATCTTCTAAGGTAGTCGCCTGACTCCCCTGCATCCAGTTACTGTCAGCGCGTTGCATACGAAATGCCCACTTTGTGTAGGAATCCTTGCCTTGTCTCCTGAGGGCCCGAAATTTCCTTCTGTGGGCTTCAGGAGTTACAGCGTACCGAGCTAACAAAATCTCTTTTATCTTTTCATAATTTTGTATATCCCCATCTGGCATGGCGAGCAATGCTTCTGCTGCTCTGCCTGATAATTTGCTTCTTAATACTGCAGCCCAGTTAGCTCTTTCTAAATCTTCTAACACACATTGTCTCTCAAAATCTTGTAAATAATTGTTAATATCCATCTCCCCTTCCACAAAGCTTTTAAATGCAGCGAAGTTGATTTTGCGCGGTCGCCCCATTTTAGATCCAGATAGCGACAATATATCCACAGGAGGTGACCTGTCTCTGGTTTCTCGGGCTTCCCGGGCATTCTGTGCCTCTGTGGCTTGTGCCAATATCTTAGCTTAGTGAGTATACCCTGGGGAGTATAGTGATTATAGCAATCCCAAGAGTTTAGTTCTCCAATCCCCCAAACATGAGCCGAAACTTCATGAAGGTACAAGAAGATCTGATCTTTTAATGACCACACACTGGCTTTTATGCAAGTCCCCATGCACCAAAACAAACCCAGCACCAAAATACAATCCCTCCCCTCTGCCTGTGATATAATTACTGAACACAATGGGTTAATGTAATTTATCACAGGCAGGAAAAATACACTTTTTATACATCCACTGTAACTTTAAAAATATAAATCATATTCACATAAAACATGCATATTTAGAATCAGCATACTTTAAATATAAATATAACCAAAATTCTGCCAATTCCATCCAGGGGTTAAAAAGTTAGCTGGAGGTCTCTTTATGACCCATCGCCAAATGTGATGGTGAATAGTGTAATGAAATCCCTGTTTGAGCGGGAAGCTCTGATGAATGCTGGCATGCCTCACGTGGTTATTAGAACTCTCCTGAGATCACGTAAGATATCCACTAACTCCACATATAGGATTTGGCATGCCTTTGTTTGCTGGGCACAAGAACATCAGGTGGTGATTAAACCCCTGGCCTTATCTTCAGTGCTCTGTTTCCTTCAGGGTGGCCTTGATAAGGGCTTTAGCTACAACACTCTGAAGGTCCATGTATCAGCTCTATCCGCTTTGTCAGGTACCCGATGGGCTCTAGAACCATTGGTCATACGTTTCCTTAAAGCAGCGATGACGATCCGGCCTCCTCTTAAGGTGTTTCTGCCGGCATGGGAACTACCTCTGGTCTTGAAGGCCATGACTAGGTCACCCTTTGAACCAATTGACCAGGCTCCATTGATGTACTTACTCGAAAGGTACTCCTGTTGGTGGCAGTTACTTCCACACAAAGGATATGTGAACTCCAGGCATTGTCCTGCGAAACATCATATACGAGGGTACTTCAGGACCGGTTGGTTCTCAGACCAGTCCCAGAATTTCTACCTAAAGTGGTATCCATGTTCCACTTGAACCAGGAGATTGTTCTGCCGTCCTTCTATCCAAATCCCTCTTCTCCTGAAAAAGAAATTTGGCACACTCTGGATGTGGTTCGAGCGTTGTCTGGAAAAGACCAGCCCCTTCCGCAGGTCGTCCAGACTTTTTGTATTGCCTATTAGCCATAGGCGGGGTGAAGCTGCCTCTACCTCTACGTTGAGACAATGGGTGGTATCGGCCATCTCAAGTTCTTATAAGTACTTATCGCTGCCGGTTCCTACTGGTATCAGGGCTCACTCTACTCGTGCTATCGCAGTATCTTGGACTTCTGTGGCAAATGCTTCTCCAGATGATATTTGTAAAGGAGGCACTTGGTCTTCAGTGAACACTTTCATCCAACATTACAAGCTCGATGTTAAAGCTACAGTGGACTCTCATTTTGGTCATCAAGTCCTTAATTCAGTTCACTCCTCTCGACACTCGTAATTTGTGTATTTGTATGTATCTTCATTAAATCTTTTTTGCATCCATTATGTCTCATGTTTCCCTCCATATGAGCTTGGGTAGTCCCATGTGTATATGCTGCCATGATTAGCCTGGAAAATTGAAAATGTATTCATACTTACTGTAATTTTATTTTCCTGGCTATAATTCATGGCAGCATATACGGTCCACCCTTATGGATCTAGTTTTTCTGTAAGAGCTTGTTAACTGACTGAGGGACTCATCTCTGGATCCTCCTTTATAAGATTTTGTTTAAATCCTGTCCTATTGGCTGTAAGGGGAGGAGCTAACCCATGTGTATATGCTGCCATGAATAATAGCCATGAAAAGAAAATTACGGAAAGTAATACATTTTCCATTTTTCTTTAGTTGCACTTTGTGTATAGAAATTAAATGTAAAACTGAGAAAAAAAATATTTTTTATTTGTTTC